CCTCAGTGCTTTCACAAGAGGGGCGCCCCATCACTATGATCTCTAGGACCTTAAAGGACAGAGAAGATAACTACGCTACCAACGAAAGGGAGCTGTTAGCTATAGTTTGGGCGCTAGAGAACCTGCGCCACTACCTTTATGGGGTCAAAGATTTAAACATCTACACTGACCACCAACCGCTGACCTACGCGGTATCGGATTCCAATCCGAATGCAAAAATTAAAAGATGGAAAGAACGCATCGATGAGTGTGGTGCCAAAGTCCATTACATGCCTGGCAAGGCCAACCTAGTTGCAGATGCCCTCTCGAGGCAACAACTCAACGTTGTAGAAGAAGAAGAGGCATTCTCAAGCGCGGCCACAATTCACAGTGAGCTGTCGCTTACCCACACAATTCAATCCACTGACAAGCCCCTCAATTGATTTCAAAACCAGATAATTCTGGAGGAAGCACGCTCTCCGTCAAAGCGGAACTTCGTTCTCTTTGGAAACAAGAGACGGCATATTATTGACTTCACTCACGAGGAGTCATTGCTGGAGGAGCTCGCAACCATAATAGTTCCTAAAGGCGTAAACGCCATTCATTGCGATCTGCATACGCTCGCAGTGATACAGGACAAACTAATCCGACAATTCCCTGCCACCAGATTCTGGCACTGCAAAAACCGAGTAACGGACATTTTTGCAGTTGATGAAAGGCGGGAAATTCTTACTGTCGAGCACAAAAGAGCTCACAGATCTGCCCAAGAAAACGTGAAGCAGGTACTCTCCGAGTACTACTTCCCGAAAATGGCCAAGCTAGCGAACGAAATAGTCATTTCGTGCAAGACTTGCGCCAAGGCAAAATACGACAGGCATCCGAAAAAACAAGAGCTTGGCGAAACCCCAATCCCATCTCAAGTAGGAGAAATGCTGCACATAGACATCTTCTCCACGGATAAAAAATATTTCCTTACGTGCATCGACAAATTCTCGAAATTTGCCGTAGTCCAACCAGTTCCCTCTAGGACCATAGAGGATCTCAAACCAGCATTACTACAGCTGATGAATATTTTCCCTAAGGCCAAGGTCGTATATTGCGACAACGAACCATCGTTGAACTCGCACACCATCGTGACCATGCTGGAAAACCATTTCGGCGTTAGCATCTCAAATGCTTCGCCCCTACACAGTGTCTCCAATGGACAAGTAGAGCGTTTCCACAGCACTTTGGTAGAGCTTGCTAGATGTCTTAAAATCGATAAAGGCATCAGCGATACCGTAGAGCTGATACTTCTGGCCACTGCCAGATATAACAAGTCCATCCACTCGGTCATCGACAAGAGACCAGCTGACGTGGTTCAGGCACAATCAGGTGAGCCACAATATGAAATTCAAGATAAAATTAAACTCGCCCAAGACAAGCTCCGGGACAGAGAAAACGCTTCCCGCCAAAATAGAGTATTCGAGGTTGGCGAGAAAGTCCTAGTGAAGTCCAACAGACGCCTAGGCAACAAACTCTCACCATTATGTGAAGAGAAAACCGTTGAAGCGGACATGGGGACCACAGTCCTCATTAAGGGGAGGGTGGTCCACAAAGACAACCTTAGGTAGGCCGAGCGCGACCATGTTATCGCTCGCCTGATAATCTCACTTTTCATTATCTTTTTTCTAGCCACTAGGCATAAGTTTTGCGCCCTTTATTATCATGCTTTGGTGGTGGGCTACCCAACTTCAACAAAATTCATAACACATCAAAATTACAGGTTTTCAACCATATCCCTGATTCTCCTTTTGGCCACAACTTCGGCACGCGTCACGGACTATTCCAAAGCCAAATATATCCCCATCGTTGATGGGCGAATCCTGATATGGGAGGAATTTGCCTTTGTAAAGCACTCGGCAAATCTCTCGGAAAATAGGCGCGTCATCGAAGAAACTAATGGGATGACCGTCATGTTCCCGCAATCCCACATGCAGAAACTCCTGGTTGTTGACGTCGCCCACCTACGCGACATGCTCGACTCTTTGAGCGTCCATCATAGAGTGGCAAGAAGTTTAGACTTCTTAGGGACTGCGCTAAAGGTGGTGGCAGGAACGCCGGACGCAGAAGATTTTGAAAAAATTAAATTTAATCAATTCCAATTAACAAATGCAAACAATAGGCAGATTAATATTAACAACAAAGTACAAATTCAAATCAATAAAATTTCCGCTACCGTCAACCAACTTCTGAGCTCAGCAAAAAAGTCCCAAATTGATACTGGGCACCTTTTCGAGATGCTTTTAACTCGAAATAGGATGATAGCAATGGAGCTACAGGGTTTGATGCTAGCAGTGGCACTTGCCAAAGTTAATATTGTTAGCCCCAGCATCCTAGATCATGCAGACCTGGAAGGTGTGTGGATGGAAGAGCCCACCGAGACCGCGATTAGGGATGTTTTGTCCGTATCGTCCGTTAAGATCTTACAGTCCGATAACATATAACATTTTATTATTAAGTTTCCAAAGATAAAGTCGGCCTGCAGCAAGATTACCGTTTTCCCAGTGTCACATCACGACACCATGCTCAGGCTGGAGGATAACGTCATTGCCGAATGCAACAGTGAGATCCACACCGTGGAAAAGTGCTCCCCGACATCAGGAGCTACATTTTGCCGATTGGCTCGCAGAAGATCATGCGCCCAAGAGCTTCACGCTGGAGGCACGGCGCATTGCGAGATCCAGCAAAGCGATTTACATCCCACCACTTATGTTGATGAAGGAATAGTAATTGTGAATGATCGCTCGGCTCACGTGTGTGTGGACAATGGCACCTGTGCCCATATAAAAGGCACATATCTCATCACGTTTGAAAAGAGTGCCATGGTCAACGAAACCCGATTGGTCAATCATGACACAGCCCAGAAGAGGGCTCCAGGAGTGGCCAGCTCACCTTCCCTGAACATCACCATGGAACGTGACGTTCTTAGCCTTCCATACCTTCACCGACTGAGTTAACGTAATCTGGAGCACATCAAAGAGTTCGGGAAAGAAATTAATCACCAGCGACTACATCAGTTGGTGTTCATAGCGGGAGCAATATGCTGCGCTCTAATTTGCATCGACTTGACCTATCGGCGAGTCACTCAGGCCCGAAAAACCGCGGCCCAGCTGAAGGAGATGATTGCCCAAATAGGGTCGGCCGAGGGCGGCCTCATTCTTGAGGGGGGAGTAGTTAACTGAAGTTAACCAAGCAGCGGCAATGTCCGATTATTTAAGAGCTCGCTCTGGCCAAACTGCTGACATAGCGTCTGGCCGGAAGCCCATGCATAGCGGCAAGCACTGCACATTTGCGTGGCCGCTATGAAATACTTTTTGTTAGCTTTAAGTTTCAGTTTGTGTCAGAGTCTCATACAATAAAGAGCATAAAACCAATCTCCGGCACTGCCGTTAATTTGTAAATTCATTTGTTGAATTGGTCACCGCGCCTCAAGGGCCGTGACAACGGGGCAAGTGCTCCCATCATAACTCCTGTTACAGGAAGGATCCCCCCGGCAACCGCCAGGGATCTCAACCACTGCCTATAAGGAGTGGCAACACCCCCCTGCAACCGCAAGGGGAAATTATCTGAACACGTACCTCCTACATCTGCGGCATCACCGACTGCAGCGAGGGATAACCAACTACTACTATATTTACCTACAAATCAATCTATATTTACTTATATTCTTGATCAGGATCACCTCCGGAGTTAATATGAGCATGTCCGTCTGTCCGTTTCTACGCAAACTAGTCTCTCAGTTTTAAAGCTATCGACTTAAAACTTTGCACACACCCTTCTTTCCATTGCACGCAATATATAAGTCGGAACGGCCGGGGTCTGCTAACTATATCCTATAGCTGCCACATAGCTGATTCATCGGAAATCTACAAATCTACAACATAGAATAGTTTCATTGATTGACTAGGCTAGACTTAGGTTAAATTTCGTTTTAAAAATAAGATTTAATTCTCAAAAATTGTTTACTATACTGCTTACATTATCATCCTATTAAAAAAAACACACGTTTGTGGAACATTTCACATACACAAACTCATAAAAAAAAAACGCGCTTAAAAGTATTCAATTCAAAAATTTTGATTTTGTTTATAAATTTTTTACTCTGCGGTTTTAAAATAGCACTCAAAATCTAAAATTGCTAGCTCACGTGAGCGTTAACATCAACAGGTGGTTTTAGCACCTGATTTCTTTGCAGTGGCGCTATCTATGGAAATTTTTGGTATGCAACATTAAAAATTGATGGAAAAATGGACAGAAAATGGGCAAAATTTCCTATAGTGCGCTATAAAACGAATTTGAGCACCCCTACTTTATAGCTCGGATATGTCTCCTTCACTGCTTTGCACACTTTTGATCAAAATTATAATACTGTCTACAAGTGTATAAAACTTAAAGATATGGCATTTCTGATAAATCACTTATATGACAGCTATAGGATACAGTCGGTTGATCCAAAAATTATGTTTTTCAATTTATTATTTATTATCAAGCAGAGGGTATTTTTGGTTTATATTTTTGGCTGAAAATGTCCAATGCAGTGTTTTCTATAACTGCAAACGATGTCGAAAATGTTATACTTTTTATATATGTTCGAGAGAGTGAGAAAGCGAGAGACGCACAGTTTACCTATCGATAGCATGCACCTCGATTAGATGCTTGTTGAGGTCGGGGCGAGGTCGATGCACGATTTTTTAAGCAAACATGGATTTTGTTATTCTTTCCTTTATTTAAACTCAAATCATGGCGCGCGAGCTAAAAAACTTCGTCGTTTTCCCTCGCCTCGTTAGCTTCACCTAGCGATCGCAAACGCCTCGTTCTTCCGCCATTTTTCCGTATATCGATAAGCTTACGTCTAGCGTTTTTCAAAACTTATTCTAACATTATTCAACACTAATTTTAACGATTTCATTTTTCAAATATAAACTTAATTCTATGACGGCGGTAACATTCCCTCCCCCTTAATTGATCCCGATCCGCGGTCAGTTACCATTCTCCAAGCCGACGTCCAGAACTGCTACCTTTGTTGCTGGTCTTTCTATAGCACCATGCTGCGTCTTGATTGTCACCCGCCGAACTTGTCCATCGTTGGCCTTCATTGCGTCAGTCACGCGTCCTTTTAGCCACAGGTTCCTGGGAAGAAGCTCATCCACGACTACGACGATGCTCCCGATGGTGATTGGAGGCACCTTCTCGAACCATTTGGTGCGCCTGGTTAACACGGGTGCATATTCCTTAACCCATCGTTGGCAAAAGCGGTCTCCGAAGCGCTGAGGCTCGTTCCATCTACGCTTCAGATTCATTCCCTCTTTTGGCAGCGGCTTGTATCCGTTCGCTGATCCTAGCAGCAGGTGGTTTGGAGTCAGGGCAGCGTCATCCTCGGAATCCAAACTTACGAACGTGAGAGGTCGCGAGTTGATGATAAATTGCGCCTCCATCAGTGCGTTTCTCAACCCCTCGTCGTTGAAAGAGTAACTTGGGCAAATGTTCTTCAAGATTCCTTTCGTTGTCCTGACGAGTCTCTCCCATGCTCCACCCATGTGCGGTGGTCCTGGTGGGTTGAATCGCCACTTTATGCCGTCGAACTTAATAGAGATCTTATCGTGCTCGATCTTTTTCAGCTCCTCGCGCACGGCTTTTTCCGTGGCTCTGAAATTTGTACCGTTGTCAGAGAATATTTCCTTCGGTGTCCCTCGAAGGGCCATAAAATTGGCTAGGCACATGATACATGAACTTGTATCTAAACTGTGGGCGATCTCAAAATGCACCGCGCATAACGTAAGACAGGTGAACAGAGCTACCCATCTCTTCTCTTTGCGCCGGCCGACGTTCACCAATAACGGGCCAAAATAGTCAACGCCTGTATAGGTAAACGGCCTCTCGAAGCTTCCAACTCTTGCCCTCGGGATCGGTGCCATCTGGGGTGGTCTGGGAACTGCTCTGTCGATCTTGCATCGTTGGCATGTGTTTCGCACAGATTTGTGCAGTACTCGTAGCCGGCTGATATAAAACGAATTTTTGATGTCGTTTATTACAGTTTCGTGAGCGAGATGGTGATACTTTTCGTGAAAGCTCCTAACTATGAGGTTGGTTATCCGGCATCCATGTAGTACTCCATCGTTGTCCAGGTACGCGTTCAATCCGGCCAATCTGCTTCCCTTGATGAGCGCCGTTCCCGCGGATAACGTTTTCAGTTCTGCTGCGAAGGCGATGGATTGAGATTGCTTGTATAGCAGCATCCTTGCCTTGCCCACATGAGCCATTGTCGTGGTTGCTGGCATGTCTCGTCCGGCACATTTCGCTCGCAGCCGATCAATGAACAGGAGTACTAGCGCCACTGCTCTGTATAACCGCCGCCAATTTGACAAATCGTGCGCGTTGAACATAACGACTGATTTCGAATGCGTCGTCATCACATGCTTCCGGATCTCCGAGGTATCGTTGATGCTCTCCTGCTTCTTGGATATTGGCCAGTGGCTCGCATCGGTCTTCAAAAACTCCGGGCCCGTTATCCACGTCTCTTGTTGGGTTTGCCCGGTGACCTTGGTAGCTCCATCTGCTACGTTCAGCTTTGAAGGAATCCACCGCCATTGCTCGACCAGTGTTGTTTCCAGAATTTCGGCGACTCTGTGCATCACGAACTGATGAAAGTTGCGGGGGTCCATGGTTAGCCACTGCAACACTGTCTTGGAGTCCGACCAGTATGTTTTTTTTTTTTTTTTTTTGGATTGCGCCATTGAGGTGAAAATCTATCCTAGGTACTATTGGCCCGTACCAATAGCATGCACGATTCACCGGCATGTCTAGCCGGCGCCTACGTACTAAAGACACCCCCGCACACACCACAGACCCCGCGGTACTACTGCTAAGTATTACTTCGCGGGGAAGGGTTGCCTAATCTAGGCATTCTCCCTTAAGCGACGTTCATTTTCGAGTCTTCTTAAGTCGCCCTGTGTATAAGCTATCAACTGGCTTACCCAGTTCCATTGCTCCTGTGAGCTACACATGAATTCCACGAGCTGCTCTGGATCTGGTAGCGATCCGATGGTGGCACGGTATCTCCTACAATTGTATAAGATGTGCTCTGGGTCCTCGTCTGCTCCTGGGCAGTTGGGGCACATTGGACTCTCGTCGTGTCCGAATCTATAGAGGTATTTTCTGTACCCCCCGTGACCTGTAAGAAACTGGGTAAGCTGGTAACTAACCTGACCGTTATTCCTTCCGATCCACTCCTGGATGTTTGGTATTAGCCTGTGCGTCCATCTACCTTTGGTCGTTGCGTCCCACCTCTCCTGCCATGAGGATAATGCCGCTTGTCGGGCTGACCTCTTAATGGCCTCTCGGGATGAGTTCCTTCCCCGTTGCCGATTGGCTGCGTAGATTTCCTCCGCTTCATTAGCCAGAATATCAATGGGAATCATTCCGGCTAGAACGAGGGCGGCTTCCTCGGATATGGTTCTAAATCCGGATATGACTCGTAGGGCCGCTAGTCGGTACGATGACCCTAGCTTTTTCTTAAGCCCCTGATGTCTTCTGACTGACGCAGCCCATATCGGCGCTGCGTACAGCAAGACAGACGTGACGACACTGGCTAGAAGACGTCTCCTGCCTACCTTTGGGCCTCCCACGTTTGGCAGCATCCTTGAGAGTGCTCCTTGGATCCTTGCCGCTTTTATGGTGGAGTACTCCACGTGCGCTCCGTAGGACATCCTGTTGTCCAGCATTACCCCTAGGTATTTAATTGCCTCCTTCGACTACATCACATCACGCAATTGCCCACCTGGATGGTAATGTACTCCACCTTCTTCCTGCTCGTGAAGAGAACTGCCTCCGTTTTATGTGCTGCTAGGTCCAGTCCAGAGTCAGACATCCATGTTGAAATTCTCCGTATTGCTTCGTTCGCATTGGTTTCCACGTCCTTGGTTTCCTTCGCCACCACGAGTAGCGCCAGGTCGTCCGCGAAGCCGATGAGTTTACATCCCGTCGGTAGTTGGATCCTGAGTACTTCGTCGTACATTATGTTCCAAAGAAGTGGCCCGAGAACCGATCCTTGCGGTACCCCCACAGTCACCTCATAGGATTTGGGACCTTCGTCCGTGTCGTACAGCAGTGTCCTGTCTGAAAGGTAGCTGGATAAAATTAGTTGCAGGTATTTAGGAGTGCCTGCCAAGAACAAGGCTCGTTGGATACGTGTCCAATTAGCCGAGTTGAAGGCGTTGCGGATGTCTAATGTTACCATCGCGCAATACTCCTTATCTCCCCATTTCCACCGAGTTCCCGCGATGGCTGCTTCCGCAGTGTCGGTCACGGCTTTGATGGCGTCCACCATGGAGCGCGCCTTACGGAAGCCGTACTGGCTGACCGAAAGCGTTCCTTTGGTCTCAGCGAATTTCGAGACGCGAGTAGCTATGGCCATCTCGAGGACTTTCCCTACCGTGTCTAGGAGACATATGGGCCTGAACCCTGATGGGTCGTCTGTCGCCTTGTTCCCTTTCGGCAGCAGAATGAGGTTCTGCCTCTTCCACTTTTTTGGAAAAGTGCCGTGCTGAAGACACTTGTTGAAGGTCTCAGCGAATACCTCCGGTTTCTCCTGCATGGCCTGCCTCAGGACGGAATTTGGCACTCCGTCTGGTCCTGGAGTCTTTCCAGCCTTAATCTTTTTCGCGTAGCTCCGGATCTCCTCCTCCGTAACTAGCGTACACGGCTCCCCATCATCGGCTGGTATTGTCTCCCTTTTTGGCGGGTGCTTTGGGAACAGAGCCTCCACTATTTTCCTTAATAAGGTAGGACATGTTGGTCTAAGGTGATCTTGCCCTTTAATCCTTTTCATGACGACCTTGTAGGCTGTGCCCCATGGGTCCACCTCCGCCTCGTCACATATTTTTTTAAAGCATTCCCGTTTGCTTGCTTTTATAGCCAGTTTCAAGGCCCTCTTAGCTGCCTTGAACTCCTCCGCTCTGGTGGCTAGGTCCTCTGAGCCTCTTGCCCTTTGGAAGCGTCTTCTTGCCCGCAGGCAGGCGGTCCTTAGTTGCTGGATGTCCTGATTCCACCAGTATACTGGTGCTCCTCTTCTGCTGGGTTTCCTCCTAGGCATGGCACTGTCGCAAGCGTGTGCTAGTGATCCTGAGAGTTCCTCCACTGCTCCCTCCGGGGAGGATGATGAAGTCCGGTCCAGCGTCTCCAGGGTTACTGAGAGTGCTTCTCGGTCCAAACGCGTGTCCTTCCATTTCGGTCCTGTCACCTTGGGAATCCGTTTCCTACTTACCCCTCCAAGGGTGAAGTGTATTGCCTGGTGGTCGCTGAAAGTAAAAGCGTCGTTGACCTCCCAGTTGCACCTCCTTATTAGTGCGCTGCTAACGAAGGTGATGTCGATGATAGACCCCCGCCCTGCCTTGCTGTACGTCAGCTTTTGGCCACTATTGGCCAAAACCACGTCCAGTGCCGCGAAGTGTTCCAGGAGACAGGTACCCCTCTCGTTCGGTGCTCGGCTTCCCCACTCCGGGGACCAGGCGTTGAATTCCCCTCTGATAACCACCGGCGATCTGCCTCTTGCATCCGCAACCAAACTTCTTAACATCCTTAGGAAGCGCGAGATTTCCCATCTTGGCGGGGCGTAGCAGCTGTAAAATGTAACCCCCTTTATTTTTGCCCGGACAAAACCTTCGCTGGATGTCCTAATGTCCTGGGGAGCCGTCTCCGTTGACCACAGAGCCGCTCCCTTGCAGCTGCTTGCCAGCCATCCGTTTCCTGGGATGCTCCTATATGGTTCCGAGATGAGGACTACCTGTGTCTGCTCGTCTCTGACCGCCTGCCTAAGCAGCGACTGAGCCGCCTCGCAATGGTTGAGGTTGTTAGCTTCGCCTCGTTAGCTTCACCTAGCGATCGCAAACGCCTCGTTCTTCCGCCATTTTTCCGTATATCGATAAGCTTACGTCTAGCGTTTTTCAAAACTTATTCTAACATTATTCAACACTAATTTTAACGATTTCATTTTTCAAATATAAACTTAATTCTATGACGGCGGTAACATTCCCTCCCCCTTAATTGATCCCGATCCGCGGTCAGTTACCATTCTCCAAGCCGACGTCCAGAACTGCTACCTTTGTTGCTGGTCTTTCTATAGCACCATGCTGCGTCTTGATTGTCACCCGCCGAACTTGTCCATCGTTGGCCTTCATTGCGTCAGTCACGCGTCCTTTTAGCCACAGGTTCCTGGGAAGAAGCTCATCCACGACTACGACGATGCTCCCGATGGTGATTGGAGGCACCTTCTCGAACCATTTGGTGCGCCTGGTTAACACGGGTGCATATTCCTTAACCCATCGTTGGCAAAAGCGGTCTCCGAAGCGCTGAGGCTCGTTCCATCTACGCTTCAGATTCATTCCCTCTTTTGGCAGCGGCTTGTATCCGTTCGCTGATCCTAGCAGCAGGTGGTTTGGAGTCAGGGCAGCGTCATCCTCGGAATCCAAACTTACGAACGTGAGAGGTCGCGAGTTGATGATAAATTGCGCCTCCATCAGTGCGTTTCTCAACCCCTCGTCGTTGAAAGAGTAACTTGGGCAAATGTTCTTCAAGATTCCTTTCGTTGTCCTGACGAGTCTCTCCCATGCTCCACCCATGTGCGGTGGTCCTGGTGGGTTGAATCGCCACTTTATGCCGTCGAACTTAATAGAGATCTTATCGTGCTCGATCTTTTTCAGCTCCTCGCGCACGGCTTTTTCCGTGGCTCTGAAATTTGTACCGTTGTCAGAGAATATTTCCTTCGGTGTCCCTCGAAGGGCCATAAAATTGGCTAGGCACATGATACATGAACTTGTATCTAAACTGTGGGCGATCTCAAAATGCACCGCGCATAACGTAAGACAGGTGAACAGAGCTACCCATCTCTTCTCTTTGCGCCGGCCGACGTTCACCAATAACGGGCCAAAATAGTCAACGCCTGTATAGGTAAACGGCCTCTCGAAGCTTCCAACTCTTGCCCTCGGGATCGGTGCCATCTGGGGTGGTCTGGGAACTGCTCTGTCGATCTTGCATCGTTGGCATGTGTTTCGCACAGATTTGTGCAGTACTCGTAGCCGGCTGATATAAAACGAATTTTTGATGTCGTTTATTACAGTTTCGTGAGCGAGATGGTGATACTTTTCGTGAAAGCTCCTAACTATGAGGTTGGTTATCCGGCATCCATGAGCTAGTATAATGGCGTCCTCAGCTATGTCAACTGCGTTCAATCTGCCTCTAGTTCGTAGTACTCCATCGTTGTCCAGGTACGCGTTCAATCCGGCCAATCTGCTTCCCTTGATGAGCGCCGTTCCCGCGGATAACGTTTGCTGCGAAGGCGATGGATTGAGATTGCTTGTATAGCAGCATCCTTGCCTTGCCCACATGAGCCATTGTCGTGGTTGCTGGCATGTCTCGTCCGGCACATTTCGCTCGCAGCCGATCAATGAACAGGAGTACTAGCGCCACTGCTCTGTATAACCGCCGCCAATTTGACAAATCGTGCGCGTTGAACATAACGACTGATTTCGAATGCGTCGTCATCACATGCTTCCGGATCTCCGAGGTATCGTTGATGCTCTCCTGCTTCTTGGATATTGGCCAGTGGCTCGCATCGGTCTTCAAAAACTCCGGGCCCGTTATCCACGTCTCTTGTTGGGTTTGCCCGGTGACCTTGGTAGCTCCATCTGCTACGTTCAGCTTTGAAGGAATCCACCGCCATTGCTCGACCAGTGTTGTTTCCAGAATTTCGGCGACTCTGTGCATCACGAACTGATGAAAGTTGCGGGGGTCCATGGTTAGCCACTGCAACACTGTCTTGGAGTCCGACCAGTATGTTTTTTTTTTTTTTTCGGATTGCGCCATTGAGGTGAAAATCTATCCTAGGTACTATTGGCCCGTACCAATAGCATGCACGATTCACCGGCATGTCTAGCCGGCGCCTACGTACTAAGAAACCCCCGCACACACCACAGACCCCGCGGTACCACTGCTAAGTATTACTTCGCGGGGAAGGGTTGCCTAATCTAGGCATTCTCCCTTAAGCGACGTTCATTTTCGAGTCTTCTTAAGTCGCCCTGTGTATAATCTATCAACTGGCTTACCCAGTTCCATTGCTCCTGTGAGCTACACATGAATTCCACGAGCTGCTCTGGATCTGGTAGCGATCCGATGGTAGCACGGTATCTCCTACAATTGTATAAGATGTGCCCTGGGTCCTCGTCTGCTCCTGGGCAGTTGGGGCACATTGGACTCTCGTCGTGTCCGAATCTATAGAGGTATTTTCTGTACCCCCCGTGACCTGTAAGAAACTGGGTAAGCTGGTAACTAACCTGACCGTTATTCCTTCCGATCCACTCCTGGATGTTTGGTATTAGCCTGTGCGTCCATCTACCTTTGGTCGTTGCGTCCCACCTCTCCTGCCATGAGGATAATGCCGCTTGTCGGGCTGACCTCTTAATGGCCTCTCGGGATGAGTTCCTTCCCCGTTGCCGATTGGCTGCGTAGATTTCCTCCGCTTCATTAGCCAGAATATCAATGGGAATCATTCCGGCTAGAACGAGGGCGGCTTCCTCGGATATGGTTCTAAATCCGGATATGACTCGTAGGGCCGCTAGTCGGTACGATGACCCTAGCTTTTTCTTAAGCCCCTGATGTCTTCTGACTGACGCAGCCCATATCGGCGCTGCGTACAGCAAGACAGACGTGACGACACTGGCTAGAAGACGTCTCCTGCCTACCTTTGGGCCTCCCACGTTTGGCAGCATCCTTGAGAGTGCTCCTTGGATCCTTGCCGCTTTTATGGTGGAGTACTCCACGTGCGCTCCGTAGGACATCCTGTTGTCCAGCATTACCCCTAGGTATTTAATTGCCTCCTTCGACTACATCACATAACGCAATTGCCCACCTGGATGGTAATGTACTCCACCTTCTTCCTGCTCGTGAAGAGAACTGCCTCCGTTTTATGTGCTGCTAGGTCCAGTCCAGAGTCAGACATCCATGTTGAAATTCTCCGTATTGCTTCGTTCGCATTGGTTTCCACGTCCTTGGTTTCCTTCGCCACCACGAGTAGCGCCAGGTCGTCCGCGAAGCCGATGAGTTTACATCCCGTCGGTAGTTGGATCCTGAGTACTTCGTCGTACATTATGTTCCAAAGAAGTGGCCCGAGAACCGATCCTTGCGGTACCCCCACAGTCACCTCATAGGATTTGGGACCTTCGTCCGTGTCGTACAGCAGTGTCCTGTCTGAAAGGTAGCTGGATAAAATTAGTTGCAGGTATTTAGGAGTGCCTGCCAAGAACAAGGCTCGTTGGATACGTGTCCAATTAGCCGAGTTGAAGGCGTTGCGGATGTCTAATGTTACCATCGCGCAATACTCCTTATCTCCCCATTTCCACCGAGTTCCCGCGATGGCTGCTTCCGCAGTGTCGGTCACGGCTTTGATGGCGTCCACCATGGAGCGCGCCTTACGGAAGCCGTACTGGCTGACCGAAAGCGTTCCTTTGGTCTCAGCGAATTTCGAGACGCGAGTAGCTATGGCCATCTCGAGGACTTTCCCTACCGTGTCTAGGGAGACATATGGGCCTGAACCCTGATGGGTCGTCTGTCGCCTTGTTCCCTTTCGGCAGCAGAATGAGGTTCTGCCTCTTCCACTTTTTGGAAAAGTGCCGTGCTGAAGACACTTGTTGAAGGTCTCAGCGAATACCTCCGGTTTCTCCTGCATGGCCTGCCTCAGGACGGAATTTGGCACTCCGTCTGGTCCTGGAGTCTTTCCAGCCTTAATCTTTTTCGCGTAGCTCCGGATCTCCTCCTCCGTAACTAGCGTACACGGCTCCCCATCATCGGCTGGTATTGTCTCCCTTTTTGGCGGGTGCTTTGGGAACAGAGCCTCCACTATTTTCCTTAATAAGGTAGGACATGTTGGTCTAAGGTGATCTTGCCCTTTAATCCTTTTCATGACGACCTTGTAGGCTGTGCCCCATGGGTCCACCTCCGCCTCGTCACATATTTTTTTAAAGCATTCCCGTTTGCTTGCTTTTATAGCCAGTTTCAAGGCCCTCTTAGCTGCCTTGAACTCCTCCGCTCTGGTGGCTAGGTCCTTTGAGACTCTTGCCCTTTGGAAGCGTCTTCTTGCCCGCAGGCAGGCGGTCCTTAGTTGCTGGATGTCCTGATTCCACCAGTATACTGGTGCTCCTCTTCTGTTGGGTTTCCTCCTAGGCATGGCACTGTCGCAAGCGTGTGCTAGTGATCCTGAGAGTTCCTCCACTGCTCCCTCCGGGGAGGATGATGAAGTCCGGTCCAGCGTCTCCAGGGTTACTGAGAGTGCTTCTCGGTCCAAACGCGTGTCCTTCCATTTCGGTCCTGTCACCTTGGGAATCCGTTTCCTACTTACCCCTCCAAGGGTGAAGTGTATTGCCTGGTGGTCGCTGAAAGTAAAAGCGTCGTTGACCTCCCAGTTGCACCTCCTTATTAGTGCGCTGCTAACGAAGGTGATGTCGATGATAGACCCCCGCCCTGCCTTGCTGTACGTCAGCTTTTGGCCACTATTGGCCAAAACCACGTCCAGTGCCGCGAAGTGTTCCAGGAGACAGGTACCCCTCTCGTTCGGTGCTCGGCTTCCCCACTCCGGGGACCAGGCGTTGAATTCCCCTCCGATAACCACCGGCGATCTGCCTCTTGCATCCGCAACTAAACTTCTTAACATCCTTAGGAAGCGCGAGATTTCCCATCTTGGCGGGGCGTAGCAGCTGTAAAATGTAACCCCCTTTATTTTTGCCCGGACAAAACCTTCGCTGGATGTCCTAATGTCCTGGGGAGCCGTCTCCGTTGACCACAGAGCCGCTCCCTTGCAGCTGCTTGCCAGCCATCCGTTTCCTGGGATGCTCCTATATGGTTCCGAGATGAAGACTACCTGTGTCTGCTCGTCTCTGACCGCCTGCCTAAGCAGCGACTGAGCCGCCTCGCAATGGTTGAGGTTGAGCTGGGTGCACTTCATTAGCTTTTCCTTTGTGAGAGGGCGCTCCTAAACATCGGACATTTCCCACTTCCTGCTATGTGTCCTGCTTCCTTCCCGGCGTGGCTGCAGAACGCACACTTAGGTTCTTCCGCGCAGTCTTTTGCCATATGGCCGTCCTTGCCACACCTCCTGCACATTCGTGAGCGGTCGATAGCGCTCTGACACTGTTTCGCCATGTGCCCAAACTCGAGGCATCTGAAGCAATTTATGACTCTGGTCCTTTCCCTGAGTCTGCACCGCACCCAGCCTACCTTCAACCAGCCTCTCTTCGTTGCTTTACGGGCACACGCGGCAGGCAGTCTGATTATGGCTGTCTGCGTCTGGCCAAAAGCCTTCCTTAAAAGGATGTCGCTTACCGGCACCCCTGGAGATTCCACCATCTTTCCAATTGCTTCAGAGTCCTCCTCCTTTGTTGTGATCTCGTCCAGATCCCTACACTCGATTTCTATCTTGTGCGACAAGGAGCGCACTTCCACCTGGTCACCTACCGATTCCGAGACCAGGGCTTTGAAAGCTGCTGTTTCCTCCCCTGACTTCTTCAGTTGGAGCAGCTTCTTGTCCTGCTTCACCCGTCGCAGGATGTCGGCGTAACTACATTCGCCCTTAGCCGTGATGACCAGTGCGTCCGGCCTTGGCTTCTCCTTGGGAATTAAGCTTGTTGCCCGCTGCTTCATCGGCAGTTTCTTTTTGGGGCCAACCAGCTTCCATTCCTGGGCATCCTTGCTCGCCTGAGTTCCAGGTTCCACGGTCTGCCCTAGTGCCCTGGCTTCCTCCCTCGTTCGAGTCGCCGCCTGCGAAGTCTCCCTCTTGCTCTTCTTGTTGTTGGGGGGATCTGGGCCTGTTCCTTTCCTCCTGGGTTCCGCTGCTGGTCGAAAAAGGGGCGATGTTTGTGACGCCTGGTGGGATTTAGGCGCTTTCTTTCGTCCCTGCTCGTCCGTCTGAGCGGCCAGTCGCTCGTAGAGAGCTCGGATGCTCTCTATGGTGTCCCTCATTGGCTGGTGGATGGACCTCCTTTTGCCATCTTCCAGCATCTCCACTAGCTGCGCGATCTCCTTCCCGAGTTCCTGCAGTGTTGTTGCGTCTCCGGCCTTCTGATTTTTACTCCTGTTCTGGTCCACTCGGATTCCTGAAATAGGAGGGGTACCCCCCAGCTTGCTGCTGGGAGATCTTGCAATTTTGCAGCTTTTTGCGAAAGCCGCCTCTCCAACTGTATTCTGATTTGTGGTAATACTCATTTTAATGGGTCCCAACTCCTGAGCCGTTGTCCTTAGGTGTTATGCAGTCGCGTCCTTGATCCCATGGTTGCCTTTGCGCGCAGTGAGGTCCATGCTAGGGTTGACTCTAGCCCTTACGAGGTGTAGAGTTCAGAACCAGATCCGCGTTGGTCAGGTATGGTTCATCTGAGCCTGCACGGCCAGCTTAGTGGCGACACCTAAGGAGCGTTTCCTCGAGACTTGCCAAATTTTAGCGGGACGGGGGCAGAAGCTGCATTAGCCTGGCAGCCATTTCGGCGGGAGTTCACTCCGCGTACTCAGGTGCCAGAATACAGCTGTCCGTCAGCCCAGGGTTCGTCGTCTCAAAATCCTTTTTCCAGTTACCTATCCCAGGGCTTTACTGGACTCAGCCCTGGTCGCTATCTCGCTATTTTGGAGGGGGCCTTTCGGGTTATGGAGAAAGGTTGCGAGTAGCTCTTTCCCTGCTTACCTGCAGGGATATCCCCCTGCCCTGTCAGTCGCCTCTTACGACAAACCAGAGCTTGTTCCGATAGTATTCTTTGCTC